TTCTTGGATTATCTCGACGTCCAGTTTTTCTACTCGGGAAAAACTTGACATCTAAATTACGAAATTACGAAATTTCTTACAAATAAAGCGAACCATTGTTCAAAGGTGATAAACAAAGCGAACGATAAATTTCGACCCTGGCGTTTTATTATCCGAGAGATCTTGACAAATAAGCAGGAGATTAATATCGAAAGGAAGAGATCGTCTCGATAAACAAATACGGTCATTGTCGGTTTGAGCAAACATATTGGATCAGTATTATCGAGATTTAGGATCTTATCTGCGGCATTAAGAAATTGAGCTTATTTTGCAACGGGATTAACGAGTATAGTGTTCGTCCTTCCGTAAGTCCGGACCAATTTCGGGAGCCTCCCCCCCCCCAACTTTTTTTTCTTCTTACATTTTTTTTTGCCTTTTCTTCTCTTTTCTTCTTTTCTTTTTTTTGGTGTGAATCTTCTTCGCATGCCGAGTGATAACCCGGAGGACGTGTGGATTTTCGAGTTAACGTACGATCAATTAATCCGCGAATTACGGGTTAGAGGACTCCCGACGGAGGGTCGGTATTTTTCCTTGGTAGACCGGCTACTGCGTCATGTGCGGCAGGGTCGCGCGAGTCAGGGAGACTCTCACCTGCTAAGGACTATGTCGAGCGACGAGCGTTTAGATGTCCCGCTGAGGGCGGACGCGCGCCCCGACAGTCCCACGCCTGCGGGGCACGGGACGATGGGGGAGGCCATACCATCGCACGTGCGATACGAGGCCACGCGATCCGTGGGGCGGAGTTCGGCCGCTGCCGCGTATGACGTAATGAGAAAATGGAACTTGAAATTTTCGGGAACTCGCGGGGAAGATGCCGAGGCCTTCTTAACGCGGATTGAGGAGGGACGCGAGCTAGTAACAATGTCCGATGAGGACGTTTTACGCTGTCTGCCGTTCGTATTAACCGGTATTGCGCTGTCGTGGTATCGGGGCAAGAAAGATACCTTCACTTCGTGGAATCAATTGAAGAAGGCGTGGAGAACCCGATTCGGAGATCCCGATTTACAGTTCGCGCTTCGCGACGAAATTATACGGCGCACCCAAGGCGAATATGAGCCGGTGGCCGATTATTTAACATGTTTGGGAGCCCTCTTCAATAAATTATCGCCTCCATGGAGTGAGAGGGAGAAAGTGAGTAACGCGTTCCGAAACATGTTACCCCGCCTACAGATAGTGGTTCGCCGGGAGGAGGCTGTCGATCTCGATACGCTCGAGATGCTGGCGACGCGCGCGGAGGACGGGTACCAGTCCACCCAACGCTACCGAGCCCCGCCGTTGCCGGAAAAGTCCCTGTTCCCGGACCTCGCGTACAAACCCCCGCGAAACGCCGGGCGGCATAAAGCGGCTGAACCGCTGGCCGCCCTGAGCACCGAGGCCAACGCCGCGGCACCGAAGGGGGTATCAAAAAAGGGAAGACCCCGACGGGAGCGGCGGGGTCGTCGACTAGCCCGCGCTTGGCAACCGCCAAGTGCTGGAACTGTGATGGCACGGGCCATCTTTCGCGAAATTGTGAGGCCGCCCCTCGCCTCCACTGTTACCGGTACGGAAGGGCGGAGGTCACGCTGCGCAACTGTCCCGATTGTCAGGGAAAAGATTAAGGGAGTCGGAGAGAAAGGGGGAGCCGACTCCGTCAACCGCGAACACCCCCGCTGGGAAGAAAGATAACAAAGAAGCGACGCGTGAATTCTCGTATAGCACTTTCGGCTGTCGCGACGCGTCCTCTTTGTTATATCTTAGTGTGAAATTATGGGATCTTGACGTCACAGCGTTGATTGATTCAGGATCGAGTAGGACTTTTCTGGGACCGGAAGTACTAAAGTTACTTCAAGATAAGAAGCTGTCGTTCCAACCGGTGCGGGGGCGACGCGTGATCACCGCGACCGGCCAGACGACGCGGGTACGGGGGGAGATTGCAGTACCGGTGGGTATTCGGGGAAGGACGCGGACGCTAACCGCGTACGCTTTGCCCACGCTGTCGCTAACGTGTATCTTGGGCCTCGATTTTCTCGCGACATTCGGAGTAGTGATAAATTTTTCGCGCAAGGAATGGGCATTCCAGGACGACTTCCGAATAGCATATCCGTTCGAAACGCAAGGGCCAACTGCAAACTTTTGTCTGCGCGAATCGGTGAGCAATTCTGAGACGCCGGACCCGTCCAGAGAGCGGGACGCGTCGCCGGCAAAGGGCGACCAAACAACAGCCAGCAAACAACCGACAATATCAAACCGCACAACCCGATCGAAGGCCAGGCCAATGACGTGCTGCGGAATTATTGAGCTGTCGCAAAATGAAGAACAAAGGCTATCGGAATTGATAAGATCACGGGTAATGGGGGATCCAGAAAAACCGGGAGCCACTCCGTTGACCACGCATAAGATAGACGTAGCCGGTCACGCGCCCATCAAACAACGGTACTATCCGGTGTCACCGTGAATACAACAGGCTATTCATACCGAGGTCGACAAAATGTTAACGGCGGATATAATAGAACCTTCCACAAGCGAATGGTCGAGTCCAATCGTGATGATTAAAAAACCAAGCGGAAGCTACAGATTTTGCTTAGACTTCCGAAAATTAAACAGCGTATCTAAGAAAGACGCTTATCCGCTGCCGTATATGAACGCGATACTCGACAAATTACGGGCCGCACAATATATCTCGACAATTGACCTTAGTCAAGCGTACTTTCAAATTCCATTAGAGGAATCAAGTAAAGAACTAACAGCGTTCACCGTACCGGGAAAGGGTCTATTTCATTTTAAGCGAATGCCGTATGGCTTTACGGGAGCGCCGGCCACGTTTCAACGGCTATTAGACCGGTTGATAGGCCCGGAAATGGAACCCCACGCGTTCGCGTACCTCGACGACATTGTGGTCGTAACCAGAACGTTCGAGGAACACCTAGAGTGGTTAGGTCGAGTATTTGATCGGATAAATCAAGCGGGTCTGACGATAAACCCCGATAAAAGCAAATTCTGCCGGTCGCAGGTCCGATACCTGGGCTTTTTGGTGCAACGAGAGGGGCTCAGGGTGGACCCCGATAAAACCCAGTCGATTATAGATTACCCGCCGCCTAGAAATATCAAACAATTAAGACGTTTTGTCGGCATGGCCTCGTGGTACCGACGGTTCATTCCGCAGTGCACGACGCGTTTAGAACCACTCACTCGGTTGCTGTGGAAGAACGTCACTTGGGAGTGGGGGGGTGAACAGGTCACTGCTTTTGAGGCAATAAAGAAAAGTATCTCCTCTCCCCCTACGCTGTCGTGTCCGGACTTTAGCAGACCCTTCATCCTACAAACGGATGCAAGTACCGTAGGACTAGGCGCGGTGTTAGCTCAGAAAACGGATGGAATAGAACACGTTATCGCATTCGCAAGTAGAGCGTTGTCGGAGGCCGAAAAACGCTACTCAACCACCGAGCAGGAATGCTTAGCTGTCGTGTGGTCTACTAAAAAGTTTCGGCCTTATCTCGAAGGGTACAATTTCAAGGTAATTACCGATCATAGTAGTCTGCACTGGTTGCATAACCTGAAAAACCCCACAGGCCGATTGGCCAGATGGGCTGTAGAGTTGCTAGAGTACGACTATTCAATCGAGCATCGAAAGGGGGCTCTTCATCACGTCCTTGATGCGCTGTCGCGAATGTACGAACCGACGGAGGAAGAACGTTGCGCTGTCGCGATCATCCAGGATGATTGGTATCTAGCGCGAATGCGAGAGGTTAGGGGAGACCCGCAGAGAAATCCACGCTGGAAAATCATGGAGGATAGATTGTACTATCGCAAGTCGAATGCTGTCGTGTCCCAGGTGGTCGACGACCTGGATGAATGGAAGTTAGTGATACCGAGGGAGTCACGTCCCGCAGTTATTAGCGAGGCCCATGACCCAGCGCAAGCTGGTCACCTGGGCGTAGAGAAAACCTATAGGAGGCTGTCGATCCGCTATTTCTGGCCGCGGATGTTCCGTGACGTCGCGGATTATGTCCGCCGGTGTGACACCTGTCAGAGGACCAAGGTCGAGCAGGATGTTCCGGCAGGATTAATGGGTCAGAGAATCATTGAAACGCCATGGATCGTCGTAGCCACGAACATAATGGGTCCGTTCCCTCCGAGCAGGGACGGTTTCGCGTACATTTTAGTGGTACAGGATCTATTTACGAAATGGATCGAATGTTGTCCGTTGCGGAAGGCTAACGGAAAGAAAATTAGAGAGGTTTTGGAAGATTTAGTGGTAAATCGGTGGGGAGCGCCGAAGGTATTGCTGACGGATAACGGGACGGAGTTTGTGAATCGTGAGTTGAGAGCGTTCGCGGTGGAGCACGGAATCACGCACACAACCGTACCCTCGTATCATCCGCAAGCTAACCCGGTGGAGAGGGTCAATCGGGTGTTAAAAACCATGATCACGGCTTACCTCGAGGCCAACCACCGAGATTGGGACCGACATTTGGTAGAGTTTCGTTTCGCGTATAACACGGCGTTTCATACGTCGTTACAAGCTACCCCCGCCTTCCTAAATTTCGGTAGGGAACCCCAGCCGGTAAACACCGAGAAGAATAGACAAGAAGCGGTGGCAGGAGTGGAGGAGGCCTCTCCAGAGAACTGGGGGGCGAGAATGGAGAAAATTCGGGGCCTACGGGACTGGGTGGTCGAGAATCTTGAGGCGGCCAACCGGAAACAGGCCCACTATTATAATTTGCGAAAGCGTGATAGGCGTTTTAATGTCGGAGACCGCGTATTAAAGCGGCAACACGTCTTGTCGTCCGCCGCGCAAGGTATAGCGGCGAAATTAGCATCGAAATATCACGGCCCGTTCACAGTTTCGAAGGTACTGTCGCCCGTAGTGTACGAGTTGATTGACGACCATAATCATTCGTTGGGTAAGATTCACGTGAAAGATCTGAAACCGTATAACGTTCCTATTCCGTCGTCTTAGGCTGTCGAAAAGAAAACCGGAGATGCTGTCGGAAGAGTTCTTGGAGGAGAACCAGGACCTGTTCGAGGCGATCAACGACGCTCGTCCAGGATTCTGGTCCGCCCTGGGGAGTGAGCTGCAGCGGGTGCGCGATGAGCGGATCACCACACGGGGAGCGGTGGTGCGCGAAATCCCGCCGTCTCGGGACGCGTGCACGCAGACCGAGCTCGAGGGCGTGGAGGCGGCCACGCAAACCGCCCGGATCGAAACCCGCAATCAGCCGGTTCAGACGGGGACTTTGCGGGAGGAGATCGAGCGGAAGCTCGATCAAATAAACCGGGAGCTGCAGAGAGACCTACCGCCAACGGTCCCGGGGGACGTGAAAGCCGTCCCGTTAGAGCGCGACCCGACGTGGGCGAAGAAATCCGGCTTCCGCGACACCATCAGGGGACCACCTCGCGGGCAAAGCTGCCAGATCTCCGCCGCAAGCAACATGCAACGACGTGGAGAGGGTAATGAGGATGTGAGCGTAAGCGTACGTGTGAGCTCGGCGCTTCGGCTAGCTTCGGATAGTAGAAGAGGACAGAATACAGTCTTCTGTCTCCTTCCTGCCGAAAGACGGGCAACACGCGACGCGTCACGCTCCTCGATATTTCGATATGCGCTCAATGTTTCTTTTACAGCATTTTTATTGTATAATGTGTTTAGAATATGTATCTGTATATATATATGTATACACATACATATTATAAACATATCATAAAGAATAATATTTAAATAATTATATTTGTATTATATATATATATATATATATATATATATATATAATATTTAATATATTTATAATATATATATATATATATGTATAAATATATTTATAATGCATATATATATGTATATATATATATATATATATACATATACCGTACAAATATAAATATGTACTAATTATATTACAAAAATATATTATAAAACTATTTAGTTTTTTATAATAATTTAACACTTGTTTTCTCTCTCTCTCTCTCTCTCTATATATATATATATATATATATATATATATATATATACATTTAAAATAATAAAATAAAAAAATTTAATGAGTGGCGATTTTCCACACCACCCACGGGGTATCACCAATGGCGCGTTAGATTTTTTTATGTGGATCTTCGCCTAGAGCCCTATTATACCACATTGCATTATTTTATCATTTACAAGTATGATGTCTGTTACACAGACAAGATGATTTTAATATTTTTACTTTCCACAAATATAATGTCTGTGTAACAGACAAGATGATTTTAATACTTTTACTTTCCACAAATATGATGTCTGTTACACAGACAAGATGATTTTAATACTTTTACTTTCCACAAATATGATGTCTGTTACACAGACAAGATGATTTTAATACTTTTACTTTCCACAAATATGACGTCTGTTACACAGACAAGATGATTTTAATACTTTTACTTTCCACAAATATGATATTTGTAACAGACGAGATGTTTTTCACGTATTTATCTTTTACAAGCGTAATGTTTGTAATAAATTTATTATTTATGAGATGGGGGCCAGCTATGTCAATGGTATCTGCAGCATGTAATCTTAAAATACTTTTATTTTTTTTTTGCAACGGTAGCATATAACTTATCCGCTGACATAAGAGACAAATGCTTTTCATCAATTTTCATTTTGATAGCTGTCTCGCCTCTCGTTTTTAATGCAGATTTAAATACACAAATAGCATTAACAGTAGCTGACGAAAAACTATTACGTTTTTTTGTTTTTAAATTATTTAAAAGAGAAAACATTCTCTCCGAATCGGCATTTGAATTTGGAAGAGATGGAATAGTACTTATAATATTTGTTAAATTGGGATATTTAGCAAGATTGTTGTGTCGATTTTGTAAAATTTTTTTCCACATGCTGTCGAAATTTAATTTAGAAAAGTTTTGTTTTTCTTCTATTGTAAAATCTGATGGTAAGGTCATCCATTCCTTCTTTAAATCATTTTCATCAAAACCGCCGTTTTAGCTATAAAAGAAACATCATTGAATGATGTTTCTCTATTGTTATCAAATAAACTTATATATGGTCGAAAAACTTGTAACTTAGATAAAAATATATTATTTAGAGATAATCTTTTACGAATTTCTTCTGCAGCAGTCACATAAAATAATAAACAATTCTCTCGAACAATTGTAACTATATTTATGTGACCTTTCAGCGTTAATTCGTTTAGATATTCTTCACATTCTGATCCCAAAATAATTTCATTAGTAGGTTTTTGATTTTTTTTTAATGAAAATATAATATTTGAAGAAAATGGTTTTAAATATTCTTCTTTTATAAAATTTCGACAGATTTGGAAAAGAAAGTTTAAAAATTTTGGATATAATAAATGAATCCTTGTTTCTAATGCTTAAAAAAATGCATTAAATACATTAAAAAAATTCAAAATATATTTTAAAAATAGAAAATAAGCTTTTATCTCTACGTTGTCCATCATAGACAAGAGATATTCTCCAGAATTTCTTTTTTCGCTCACAATCATTTCAGTAAGAAAGTATTTAATTGTATCCCAAGATTCAAGAAGTCTTTCGATACATAAATAATGCGAAAGCCAGCGCGTATCACATAATTTCAATATTTTGCGATTTGTTTCTTGGAAACATTCACAAAATTCACGAAAAATAGCCGTACGTTTTGGACTGCTATTGAGATAAGTAGCAATTTTTTTTAGAAATTCTTCGCAATATGCAGGCATTTTAGAACATGCAGCGTGCGCTGCTAATGCGGAGGAATGACATGGGCATGAAAACGTTAATAAATGTGGACATATTTCTTCTAATTTTTTTTTAAACGATAAATGTTTTCCTGTCATAACAGATGCATTGTCACATGATAAAGTTACGATATTTAAAAATGGAATCTGTAATTTCCACATTTCACATTTAAATGCCTTAAATAACTTTTCTGCACTTGAATCTTTGGCATCAATATCAATTAATTTAACTAATTGTGAGCGAATATCTAATGTCTCTGGATCAACGTATCGAACAAGAAAAGTCATCCATTTATCATTAGTTATATCAGATGTTTCGTCAATAAAAATTGAAAATTTTATATTCTAAATTTTATTGACGATACGATCTGTTTCAACTGGGCATAAAACATTTGTAATAATGCTTTTACATTTTGTTCGGCTCATGCTCATGCTTTTTAACACATTAGGGTCTTTTCCAATATGTTGAAAAAAGTTGAGGATTTCTTTTGCAGTTTGATGCGAAATATTTTTATCAGCAATTAATGCAACATATCGAATTTCTGCTATTTTTTTTCGCTCTTCAAACGACAAAAGTGAATCATCTGTTATGTTTATATTTTCGTTTGTATTCATTGTTTCTGTTTTAATTTTTCATATTTCTATATGCGCTTTGGATTCTGCGTGACGATAAATTTTTGATAAATCACCTCTCATTGATTTATCACAAAATGAACAAAAAAATAAATTTACATCATGTGATACTTTGCGTAACCATGGCTTAAATAATTCAATTTCTAGCCATTGTTCTTGAAATTTATATTTTTCGAATATTTTTTTATCTGAATTTTTATTATTATTTTCTTTATTAGTATTTAAAACTGAATTATTTTCTTTAATATTATTTTTATGACACGCAGAATCCACATGTCTTAAAATATGTGTATTGCACGAAAAATTTTTATTGCATATACTACAATAATAAAGACTATCGTCGGATGGTACTTTGCGTATCCAAGATTTATACCGATCATCATTGAGCCAAGCATCTGAAAAGCTTCGCTTAGATTTTTTTCTCATTTCATCACTCATTTTTGTGAAACAAAAAATAGACAGAAACAAAGAATTAAAGAAGCTAAAGATGAAAAATGATATATATATATATATATATATATATATATATATATATATATATATAGAAATTTGAAATAATCAGAACTCATACACAAATCGGGATTGTGACAGTTCTTGAACACCAAGATTTCAGAGCACGTATAAAAAAATACGTTTACTTGATAGTACAAGGCGACAAGATTATCTGATGAAAATAAATGCCGCGAAATAAATGAACGGCGTAAAACAAATTAAACGGCATGAAACAAATAAACAAATGCCGAGTATGTCTCACTGTCTGTTCATCCAAGCACGGCGACAGATCGAACATGTCTCGTAAGTAAATCATTATTTATACAAAGATATTAAGAAATAATTTAATCTTTAATTTCTATTTTAATTTTTTTCTTCATAATTTTATAGAAGATATTAATGAAGAGATGGACGCTTTTGGTGCTGCAAGATGCTGCGCAGCCAACGATGCAGCAGCAGCAGCAGGAGCAGCAGCAGCAGCAGCAGCAGAAGCAGCAACAGCCGCCACAGCCGCCACAGCAGCAGCCACAGCCGGAGCAAAGAGGTATATTATTACGAATTAATATAATATAATTTAATACACACACGCACGCACACCCACACACACACACACACACACGTACACGCACGCACAAATATATATACATACATAAATATATATCGTTTGTTTATTTTCTGAAAAATAAAATAAATAATGAATAAATTATAATTAATAATGCATATATACAGGGTGACCCATTTTAACTTAGGCAGCCAAATAACTCGAAAAATAAGCACACTACGAAAAAATGGTTAGAATCAAAATTTCGTCATTTCGAGGGGGACATACAATGACGTTAAAATCAGCCCCCCCATCCCTCCCTCTGGGCGGTGAGGGGGGGCAAGTTTGAAATCTTAAATGGAACCCCCTATTTTTCATTGCATATTCTTGTAGCTTATCTCGAGAGCTTTCCAAAACACTATAATTAAGTACCTTTTTATTAAGTACTTTTTGAGTTATAAGGCTTGAAATAATTTCTTAATTTTACGTAAACCATAAAATATCTAGTAAACCATTCATTTTTCGATTATCTTACCTTCATACTTTTATGTACAAAATAATGAGAGGAATCAATTGGTGTAAAGAAAACACATAGTTGTTTCTAAGAAAAAATATGTAATTTGCAATTAACAATTCCATATTTTTTCTTAAAAACAACTGTATGTTTTCTTTACACCAATTGATTCCTCTCATTATTTTGTACATAAAAGTATGAAGGTAAGATAATCGAAAAATGAATGGTTTACTAGATATTTTATGGTTTATGTAAAATTAAGAAATTATTTCAAGCCTTATAACTCAAAAAGTGCTTAATAAAATGGTACTTAATTATAGTGTTTTGGAAAGCTCTCGAGATAAGCTACAAGAATATGCAATGAAAAATAGGGGGTTCCATTTAAGATTTCAAACTTGCCCCCCCTCACCGCCCAGAGGGAGGGATGGGGGGGCTGATTTTAACGTCATTGTATGTCCCCCTCGAAATGACGAAATTTTGATTCTAACCATTTTTTCGTAGTGTGCTTATTTTTCGAGTTATTTGGCTGCCTAAGTTAAAATGGGTCACCCTGTATATATATATATATATATATATATATATATATATATATATATGCATTATTATAATTTATTCATTATTCATTTTATTTTTCAGAAAATAAACAAAACAAAAGAGGTAGCGGGCGAGCCCGAGCTCGGTGGTATGCACAACGGGGCAGGGGCAGCAGGAGCGGCTGGGGCGGCCGAAGAGACGGCCGCGGCCGAGGAGTCGGCCGAGCCCGCGGAGTCGGCCGAGCCCGCGGAGTCGGCCGAGCCCGCGGAGGCCGAAAAGGCGGATGGGGGGACACAATAATAAAAAATTATTATTATTAAAAATTTTTTAAATTATTATTATTATGAATAAAAAATAAAAAATATAATTAATAATTTATAGAATATTTATTTATCCAATATTTTATCCTTTCCTTTTATCCTTTATTCCCAGATATTTTTTTCTCCTATATATGAATGTGGTATAATAGGGCTCCAGGCGAAGGTCCACATAAGAAAATCTAACGCGCCATTGGTGATACTTCGTGGGTGATATGGAAAATCGCCACACTCATTAAATTTTTTTATTTTATTATTTTAAATGTATATTTATAGAGAAACAAGTTAAATTACTATACTAAATAGTTTTATAATATATTTTTGTAATATTATTAGTACATATTCATATTTATACATATATATTTGTATAATATATTTATAATGTATATACAGGGTCTACCAAAAGTGTGGAAACCCCTAAATATCTCGGAAAATATACGTTTTACAGAAAAGTGTTTCCAACAAAAGTTGTAGGGTTTAAGAAGATCTATATACTGATTCTATCAGTTTGACCTTGGATGGCGTCGTCAAGGTCAGGTCAAGGTCACATTGACTTTTTTAAATGACACCCCCTACATTTGATTGCATATTCTTATAGCTTAATTCAAGAGCTTTCCAAAACACTATAATAATGTTCATTTTTATTAAGTACTTTGCGAGTTATGAGGGTTGAAATAATTTCTTAATTTTACATAAACCATAAAATATCTAGTAAACCATTCATTTTTCGATTATCTTACCTTCATACTTTTATGTACAAATTAATGAGAGGAATCAATTGGTGTAAAGAAAACACATAGTTGTTTCTAAGAAAAAATATGTAATTTGCAATTAACAATTCCATATTTTTTCTTAAAAACAACTGTATGTTTTCTTTACACCAATTGATTCCTTTCATTATTTTGTACATAAAAGTATGAAGGTAAGATAATCGAAAAATGAATGGTTTACTAGATATTTTATGGTTTATGTAAAATTAAGAAATTATTTCAACCCTCATAACTCGCAAAGTACTTAATAAAAATGAACATTATTATAGTGTTTTGGAAAGCTCTTGAATTAAGCTATAAGAATATGCAATCAAATGTAGGGGGTGTCATTTAAAAAAGTCAATGTGACCTTGACCTGACCTTGACGACGCCATCCAAGGTCAAACTGATAGAATCAGTATATAGATCTTCTTAAACCCTACAACTTTTGTTGGAAACACTTTTCTGTAAAACGTATATTTTCCGAGATATTTAGGGGTTTCCACACTTTTGGTAGACCCTGTATATATATATTTAATAATATATATATATATATATATATTATTAAATATATATTATAAATATATAAATATATATATATATATAAATATATATTATTAAATATATATATAATATATACAGGGTGAGCCATTTTAATTTATCCACTTCAATAACTTTTTTATATTTGAATGTACAACAAAATGTTTGAAATAAAAGTTGCTTGACTTCGAGGGGGACAGAAGATGGGTCGCAAAAATTTGACCTTGGATAGTCATTTGAGGGTCACATAAAGGTTACTTTCAATTCTTAAATGGAACCTATTTTTCATTGCATATTCTTGTAACTTATCTCGAGAGCTTTCCAAAACACTATAATTAAGTACTTTTTCATTAAGTACTTTTTCAGTTATAAGGCTTGAAATAATTTCTTAATTTTACATAAACCATAAAATATCTAGTAAACCATTCATTTTTCGATTATCTTACCTTCATATTTTTATGTACAAAATAATGAGAGGAATCAATTGATGTAAAGAAAACATACAGTTGTTTTTAAGAAAAAATATGGAATTATTAATTGCAAATTACATATTTTTTCTTAGAAACAACTATGTGTTTTCTTTACACCAATTGATTCCTCTCATTATTTTGTACATAAAAGTATGAAGGTAAGATAATCGAAAAATGAATGGTTTACTAGATATTTTATGGTTTATGTAAAATTAAGAAATTATTTCAAGCCTTATAACTGAAAAAGTACTTAATGAAAAAGTACTTAATTATAGTGTTTTGGAAAGCTCTCGAGATAAGCTACAAGAATATGCAATGAAAAATTGGGGGTTCCATTTAAGAAATTGAAAGTAACCTTTATGTGACCCTCAAATGACTATCCAAGGTCAAATTTTTGCGACCCATCTTCTGTCCCCCTCGAAGTCAAGCAACTTTTATTTCAAACATTTTGTTGTACATTCAAATATAAAAAAGTTATTGGAGTGGATAAATTAAAATAGCTCACCCTGTATATATTATATATATATTTAATAATATATATATATATATATTATAAATATATTAAATATATTAAATATTATATACATATATATATATATATATAGGTATATATAATACAAATATATTATAATTATTTAAATATTATTCTTTATAATATGTTTATAATATGTATGTGTATACATATATATATATATATACAGATACATATTATAAACACATTATACAATAAAAATGCTGTAAAAGAAACATTGAGCGCATATCGAAATATCGAGGAGCGTGACGCGTTGCGTGTTGCCCGTCTTTCGGTAGGAAGGAGACAGAAGACTGTATTCTGTTCTCTTCTTCTATCCGAAGCTAGCCGAAGCGCCGAGCTCACACGTACGCTTACGCTTACATCCTCATTACCCCCTCCACGCCGTGTTGCATGTTGCTTGCGGCGGAGATCTGGCAGCTTTGCTCGCAGGTGCTGGAATTGCGCCAGCCGGGAGCACCGGGTGCGAGACTGACCCCTACCGATAGCCCGCGAGTATTGTTACCGCTGCGGGCGCGGGGGCTGCACAGTAAAAACGTGCTCGAAGTGCGGAGGAGCCTGGCGGGCCCAGGGCCCGTACGTCCCGGGGAAGGGACACCCCGGACCCTCACCGCCAAAGCGCTCCCGGAAGAGCACGCGGCGCTCTAGCCCTTATTGAGGGCTGCTGTCGACCCCGGATGGGGAGGTCCAATTTTTTTTTATTTTTGTTTCTTCGTCTCGCGGCGGCTGTCGAGAAAGGACCACGCCTCCCGTGAGGCTTGTATAATTTTCGTTGTTGTTGTCCCGTTTGTATTTTATATTTTGTATGGCGCGTTCGCCAAATAAAAAGGGAAATCAAACTATGAAGGCATTGTTTCACCTCCCTGCCCTCGTGTATCGTTTGCATGTCCTCCGCGAGCGCGCGGGAATCAGCGAGATAACGGTGGACGCCACACAAAACCAGCGGCGAGGCGAGGGGACGACAATGGGTGAGCGTAGCCTATTCCCATATTTCATATTGTGTTTATTTGTGTCGTGATCGCGCTGCCTCGCCCTTTTAAGATCCAGGCCACCCAAGTACCTCCGCGCCAGCGGGACCGACTCGCGAGCCGGGTGGATGGCTGGGTGACCGGAACCGGTGGGCTCACTCTTGGCATGGGGGGATGTGACGTTGCCGTCACGACGGACGTCCACCCGCTAAAAAGACTGCATGACGCGAGCCGAGCGGCCGCGCCGGTCGAGAAATCGAGAACCCCGCCGGGATTTTCAGGGAGGCGAGCGTGTTTGTTTATAAGCAAAAACCTTGTTACTAATCCTATTTGTCGAAATTCTATTGTTCATGAGGCCATAAATCTTCAACGAAGATCTACCTGGAAGTCTACAAGAAAAGCGGCCTTGCCGAATCATCACCGATCAAAACAGTGGCCGTGAAAAACAAAGGTCGGCGATAATCGAGCAGCCTCGCACATTTTCGGTCCATCGGCCCAGCATCCCAGGGCCGGCCAGCAATGACGGGCGCCGAAAGCACCCCGCGAAGAAGCTAAATCTCTTCGGCAAAATCAGGAAGAGGCGCTACCCTCCGCTGGAGAGAGACGAAGGCCGCAAAGGACGGCCCGGACAGGAGAATTCCCGAGCACCGGGCGATGAAAAGCGCGCCGGAACGGCGGACCAGCGGAGGCGCGGGATCGCGGGCGCATGATGCGCCCCTGCGCCGCGCTCGAAAATTCGATCGATTGGAAATTGCCATTCTTGCAGTAAGATACAACGCCTCGGCAGTATCTCGGTTACGGTAATTAAATAATATAAAGTGTCAAATGGTCACTTCCGTTCTCGATAATTCGGAGATCTCGTACTTCTTTCTGTTTTTCGTATTTGTAATAGCGCGCCTCGTTCGGTTCTCCGAACTCGTCAGCGCTTACGCGCTTCTTTTCGTTCTGAGTAATTGCAGGAGCTCGCGCCTTTCTTTCAGTTCTCAGTAGTTGTAATCTTCGATGCGCTTCTCGCTATTCTCCGTCATAATAGAGTTTCGCGCATTCGAGCCTGTGTATTGTAATTATAAAGCCTGGCGGATTCGGCTCGATTTACCGCTATGATATCGGCTTAGCTTTCTTTTCGATTAGTTATCTCGGGCGAACATTGGCAGCGAATCACGTCTCATTACTCAAGTTATCTTTGATTGTGTTTTACCTTCAATTGGTTGTCGTTAATCGAGATATTGTGAACCTCATTGCGATCGGATTTATCATTCGAGCGGACTTGTATGTTTTTTTTATTTACTCTCATCTGTTATATTTTTTTTTGTTATCAATAAATCCATTATATTGTCTATTCGAATTCGCGTAATTTACTCGAAGATTCGTCCCTCGGCTATCACAGATATTCGTTTCTGTGTCTCTCGCACATCGCATTAATTAAGTAATTAACCCGCTCCAAGAACCCCTCCCCTCTACCGTTAGGCGAGCTAATCAGCCCATGGCGAGGGAGGCTAACATCTTTCGCGCTGTGTGAAAAGTTTAGTAGAAAACTGATGCGTGAAAGACCGCATCTGGCGCCCAACCCCGATCGAGATCTCGAACGGCCTCCGCTCCGCCGCGGCCCGCGCGAGCACCCTTCATCCCTGTTCCTCCGAGCGCGGAGATCGTATACTCCTCCCGTGTTTGACGGCGTTCTATCCGACCAAAATTAGAACCCAAGAAGGAGAGAAACGTCGCAA